TAGATCCTGTAGGGACTATGTATATGGGATATTCTATACTTGATTTTGGATTTTTATGGTGTATTTTAGTGCAATCTGATTAGAACTGATGGGCAACAAAGAATGGATCTTTTTTTTTTTTTCTGTATTTTAGGGAAGGGTCTACAGGGTGTTCAGGGTTTCACTACTAGATTGGACTCGTAGTGATCCTCCTGTTTACAGCCTCCAAAGTGCTGGGATTACAGACATGGGCCACCACACCCAGTCTCAACTGCTGTTTCAGCATGCCCCAAGGGTGGGGCCAGCATGGCAAGCCCGGAGATCAAACCCTGGCCCCTGCACCTGCTTACAGGCACTTTAATCTGCTGAGCTATTTGGCTGGCCCAAGAATGGATATTAAAGCAACAAAATGAGATAAAAAAATGTCTAGTGAGAAAAGTTACAAATTGCCAAAGTTTGTCTAGAGATGATCAGCTAATCAATCTAATGCCTATTTAGAGAATAGATTTGACTGGCATTTCCTTGTTTTCCTATTCATAAAAAATATTACCATGTAGGGATCAGTTTAAATAAGCTGTTATCATGCTTGAAATGATTATATACTGATAGATCCTAAGCAAATAGATTACATCACTGCAAAATTTCCTCTGACTCCTATAGTTGTTCATGTGACTTTGCTGCTTCTTTCATCAAGAAGGGGAATCTACAGGTCCTGAATCTGTGCTGGCCTTCTGACCTGCTTTGACTAATAGCATGTGGTGGATGTGATGTGAAATTTCTGAGCTTGGGGCTTCAAGAGGTTCCATGCTCAGGTTCCTCACTGGCTTGGCACACTGCCACCACACAGAGAGCCCAAGCTATCCCCTTTGAGGAGGAACGTCTCTGAGAAAGGTCCAGTCAGCAGTCAACCAGCTGCCAGCCATAGGTGCACCCAGCCAATCCCGCAGGTGACTCCAGTAGCTGTGTGACTCCAGACAAGGTCAGCCCAAGTTACTACTGATACACATAATCAAGCACAGATACAATGGCTTAAAGCCACAAATTGTAAGTGCTTTGTATTTATATTTGCATATATGTCCATGTGCTAATGTTTTCTCATCATGAAGCTAAAGGAGAATCATTTTAAATTATAAAGTAGACCTGGTTATTCATTAGGCTATTCAACAAGGCTTATAAGGATCAAAAAATAATTCTATAATAATGTGTTAACCTAGGTTGCTGTATGAACCATGAAATGGAAGGTAGTGGTTTCCCCCTCTCAGGATTGGATTGTGTACAATTTTAAGAGGTAAGGCTATAATTCTAGATAGTGGCATGTGCTTATAATTCCAGCACTCTGAGAAGCTGGCAGAGGGAAATCACAAGTTGAAGCCCGACTAGGCATCTTGTGACTTAATGAATGAAACCCTGTCTCTAAATTAAAAAGGGTCATTCATCTATATCCCCTTTTGTTTAGTTCCATCACTTAAATATCATAGGTGTGTGAACTCAGTAAAATATTCCAAAATAGTCTAGTAGTACATAATAGTACTGGAACCATTTTGTATCTGTGTATTCAAAATGGTTAGGATAGATAGTTACAGTCTCTTAATTCAAGGAATAGAGGGATTTGTTCTTATTGTGTTTGTAAATAGGATATCATGCCTGCATCTTGTACAACAAATAACGACTAGAAAGGCAGTATGCAATGTGTTAATTATTGGAACTGTCCAACCAATTTGATTTGAAACTGTCTCATTGCTATTTATTTCTCAATAAAATTAAGGGAAAAAAATTAAAAATGGACAGCAATTTAGCTCAGTACAAAGGGCCTCGATTCAGTCCTTAGTACCACAAAACCACCTCTGGAGCACTGTGAAATTTCAGTTCAATTCTTGTGACTTAACAACTCTTTCTACTTCATATACTTTTGCATACTTATTTGATTTTGCAGTGCTGGGAATTTTAACGCAGAGCCTTCACACTAAGCTTCATCCCCAGCCCTATTTAAAGTTTTATGAAACAGGGTCTCACTAGTCACAGTCCTTCTGTGCCTCAGCCTCACAGAGTGCTGGGATTCTGGTGTGCACCATACCTGGTTTGTATATCATAGGTAATGCTTGAATGGCAGGACCCTCTGGCTCACCTTTCATACAAAATGGGATCCAAAATAAGTACAGTCCAGTGAAGGCAAATACAGCACAAGGCTAAGTTCCTGAGTTTCAGGACTAGACCTCTTGGGTTCAGATGCTGACTCAACAGTTTATCAGCAACAACCTTGAAGCAATCTACCTCAGTTTTTCTACCTGCAGAACGGATAGCCCAAAACTGGGTTAAGATGAAATGAACTAATATTTGAATTTGAAACATATTAACTATTCAATACATCTCAGTAGTAATGTCATGATATTAGAGTTTGAAGTTTTCTAGATCTTGAACTCAATTCTGTTACTGACCATGGGTACATATTACTCTGGGTTTGTAGTCTAAATTATAAAAGGTTTACTAGACAACTTCCAGGATTTAGCCTATGATTCATATGTTTTAATGTTTTTTATTTCCAAAATTCACTCCTGTCTCAAAATTTTAAAACTTATGATAGCAATACTGAGGTGTTCTAAAAATAAAAATCTCACTTCTGCAGTTTTGTGTCGACACATTCCTATAATCCTAGCACTCTGGGATTGGCCAGAGGATCTCAAATTCAAGCACCGCTCAGTCAACTCATATGGCGTGCGGAGGTAGCTCAATGCTAAGGCTCTGGGTTCAATCTCCAGGACCATAAAATTTTTTTTAAAAAAATGTGATTTTCTTGGCTGCACAATAGACACCATTATATAGAAGTGTTGTATTTTATTGCACATTGCGTTATAATCTATGTCATTTCATATTTCACTTTGATGTTGGCTGATAGTAAATATGGTCTTGTGTGGCCAGTTGGTGTGATCATTTTTCTATCCTATTGTTTCATAATCAAACTGCTGCAATCTCCCAAAAGGTTCCATTCAGCATTTTTACAATAACAATTCTATCGATTTACCAACTTCCCTTTGGATTTTAAAAAATGGATGCAGGTCACCTTTTTTCTTACCAAACACATCCAACTCACGTTCTAAAATATACTTTTTCAGGACCCTTTGGACTGGTGGTTTGGACTGTAAAGGTGTTCATTTTTCCTAAGAGAAGGGGGATAAACAGGGTAAACGGCTGTTTTTCCTCTCAAAATTTCCTAAGCGACTGTGGACACATTTCCTTGAAATCACGAAGGGCAAGCATTCCTTACTCGGAGTCGGGAAAAGCGGACCGGGTTTGCACTTCTGACAGAGGACTGTGGGCTTCGGGGATTTTTCCAAGCAGGATGCGGGCGCCCAAGAGCAGGGAAGGCGCGTACAGCCACGTGACCCAACTTCACTTTCAGGTTCAACAACCGGGCCCGACGGAATCAAAACCTCTCTGCTGACAATAAACTGTCTTCCTCCCAACTGCCACCCCCAAATTCAAGGAGGCACCGTTCCAAAAGCTGTTGGCTAGGACAACACACAAGTCCGACTTGTGGGTCGATAAACGCGCTGACAGCCCGTGCGGACCGCTCCCCCTCAACGCTCGCTCTTATCTGCCAAGCCCTTGCCCGCGGCCCGGCCCCGTACTTTTCCGCGCCTCCCCGAAGCCGTTCCACCGAGCGCAAGGCTAGAGCAACAGTTTGCTCGCCCAGCAGCCCGCGTCCCGGCGCCTTTGCGCACCGCGGTCCTCGCACCTCCGCGCGCGCCGCCGCCGCCGGGCTCCGGCTCTCCGTGCGCGGGCGGG